ATCAGGTCATGAATGCCTACATGTACCTCTTGGTACAAAAATTTAATAATGCTGTTGGCTTCTCCGTGACTGAAGAATTTTTTAGTCTTGTCACCAGCTGTGCTCTTTTTTTTTTTTTTTTCCCACCGTGAAGTGTCCTGACCGGCCTCAGACGTGTATGAGAACTGCCTTTCGAAAGTTTCGAAAGTTCCAAAAGACGTCAAACTCTTTAAAATTACAGCATCAAAACGATGCCATTATAGCATGTTTCGCATGCTAACTCCGTCTCAGAAACGTGTTTCCCGCAAATTGCATCAGCCAAATCTACTGGTGGCATTGTTTAAATAAATATAACTAATTAGTATTTCAGATGTGTTTGATTTGCAATCGTAAAATGTGGGTTTTAACAACTAATGCATATTAAGTAAGGTACTCAAAATATCAAAGTAAATTAACTAACATTAATTTATTTGTTGAAAATGATACAATTTTTGTGTTAATATTACAACCCTACAGAATCATTTGTATCAGTGCATTTTTACCTACATTTGCATACGTCTGAGCCTCATCTGTCACACACTTTATACAGCACATGCATAACGTGGTATCAGGACTTCATTAATAATTAAATAATTTAACTGAACATAGCCATAATAAAACATACGTAATTGAGTGGTTTACACACAAAAAAACGTGTAAAAATGTAAAATATTAACCCTCCAAAGTCTCCAAATTTCAAGCAAATCCAATCCCTCCTGCCTCTCCGCAGTCTCCAACTCATGACCATCCTGCCTCTCCACTCAGCTCCACAGCACAGTCTCCAACTCATGGCCATCTTGCCTCTCCACTCAGTTCTGCAGCTCAGACTCCTACCCCTGCCCAGTATTGATATAGAAACATGTATGTATTTAGCATTCAACAAACAACAATAACAGATCAATTGATGAACAAATATCTGTCAGTTTTAGGAAAATGTATGGCATTACATCTAAAGTAATTGGTAAATGTACATACATTTGTTTGAGGTACCCTCACACTGTATGTGATAGACATACAACTTCAACTTTTGTGTTTTCTTCTCACCTCCATATTCAATCTTGGAACTGAGTCTTAGGAAGAGAATACATCCCATTATTGTTGTTTTCATTTTAGAGGTATGAGAGAGGCCTGAAATAGGAAAAATGTATTTGTGCTCCTTGCAAAAATAGGGCCATTCAAACTGTGCTACGCTGACATTCATTGGACTGCACCCACAGTGGAACTTAAAAGTGAAGTTAGACTTGGCCCAAACTCACAGGACATGTTATTAATAACTTTGTCAAAACTAAGTCTTTCCTTTGTGAACGCAGAACGGTATTGCTACATCATTTCAATATTTCAAGACCAGTTTAAATAGGTATTAAATTTCATCCGCTAATCCAAGTCATCATCATTTTGTTATCTTTATATAATTAGAAAAGTTATTTTGCTTCTTTCATTTCTATCAGGTCATGAATGCCTACATGTACCTCTTGGTACAAAAATT